TGACTCTTGACGACCCTCCCCCCCCCCCCCCCCACACACACACTGTTGGCAAACGCCTTGTTCTTGCCGTGCACAAGCGTGACGGTGAGCGTACAATGAGCAGCGGCCTCTCAAGGATTCCTCTTTGCTACCGGTACGTGACCGTCAATATGCCAGGGAACAATGCGAGGAAGAGTAGGGGTGCGCTGGGGGTGCGAATTAAGACCAAGGATCAGCAGATAGACACCTAAGTCTGAAAAAGGCGTGTGCTGCGGCGATGCACAATACAACTTTTAAGACCAAGGATCAGCAGATAGACACCTAAGTCTGAAAAAGGCGTGTGCTGCGGCGATGCACAATACAACTTTTAAGACCAAGGATCAGCAGATAGACACCTAAGTCTGAAAAAGGCGTGTGCTGCGGCGATGCACAATACAACTTTAAAGCGAGGAATGTCTATGTTAGCTGTTCGTCGAAGAGTTAACAACCGATAAAGGGAATAGAAAGAGAATAAGAGCTTATATTTTCTCTGTGCTGCGCTGATGAGTCCACAAAGGACGAAACAGTTCTGTCCGCAGATTGAGCATACATTATTACGTACTTCGACGTAAAAAGAAAAAGTGAAGAAGGAATGTAGTCTTACACCGTCATCAGTTTGAGGGAAAGTTGCAAACAGGAAACCATCACTCATGCATGCACGTCCGGGGATTGGGGGGGGGGGGGAGGATTTCATTATACCTTGGCATACGTCAGGTATAATAGTTAGTGGTGGCAATAGTACTTCAATATAGTACATGTATCATTCTACTTAGGGATTGGAAAAAGGAATATACATGTATATGGCTCTAACTGCATGCTTTTTAAATTCTACTCGCGGCGATGAACCACCCACAATATGTACTAATCCTTCAACACGGTGAACCCCTTGAAAGGTGACCAGCCATCGGGCCATCCTCATAAAGATATCATACTATAATTATAACATTTCTGTCACACTCAGACAGGTGTTTCGGCCACGGTGCCATTGCGTTGATCCGTTGGGGTTTGTTCGGCGTCTCTTGGCGGCTTCCTACTCGCATATGTAGCGGCAGCTGATGTTGCAGGGGGTTCAGCTGTGGAGATGGGCAATGACGGCGGATTCTGATGACGGCCATTTGTGGCCTGACTTTGCTTCATGGCAGGTAGACCTTGTTCAGTTGTAGGGATTGCGCTGAGCTCAAACGCGTCAGCTACCGTGGATTTGGTGACGACCTTCCTGGCAGTGGTATTGTTCCGAACTGCTTCCTCTGTCAGCGTCAGTGCAGCTGGCCTTCCATTAGCGGCTTGGGCGGATAGCTCGGCATGGTTCTGATCCTTGACTGCAGACGGTGTGGGTTTGCTCTGTGATTTCCCATCCATGGCCCTGGGTGCAGGTGCAGCAGGTAGCTTTCCCGGCTGTCTAGCTGAAGGAGATAGCACTTCAGCTCCGTTTGCAAGGTCATCGACATTTGCTTGGGGAGTGGTCTGGGAATGCTGCGTAGGAGTTGGCTTGGAGAGATTTGTCGTTTTGCTGGGAGCTGCTTTCAGCGTGGAAGCGTTGTGCCCCGTGTTCTGTTCGGAATCGGTAGTGTGCGGCTCGGAACTGGGGTCGGACCTGACCTCACCGTTTCTCACCTTGTTTGATTCCGGCCTCTCCCGATCCTCCTTAGCCATCTCATGTTGCAAAAGTAGCAGCATCATTCGCTTTGCATCTGCCACAAGCTGGTCCTCTTTCCTCTGTGCATCCGAGTTTGGTAGCAAGTTCAGCAGCCGCGACAGGATGGGTTTCAAGCTGGCAAGCACAGGAACAAACAAACCAGCGACAGCTTGAGTGTGTGCCAGTTTGCCAATATTGATAAGCGCCACGTGAAGAGAGCCAAGGACAAGGAGAAACAGCACGAACAGGGCAGTGGCCCGAAGAGAGAAAGCGAAAAGTCGATTGCTGATCACCTTGATGAGTCTCTTGTAGATTTGCTTGTAGAGGTCGGTGGTGATCTTCTGCGGGAGTCCAAGTACCGACCCATGCCGTGCACACAGCAAGAGGAATACCTTTCCTCGTAGGTGATCAATGCGAAACACAAAGCTTTTCAGGCTCTCAAGGGTTTTGTCTTCCGTTTCCTGAATTTTCCGGGCCTGCTCCTCCGTCATTCTGTCCCCTTTCTTAACAAAACCGCTTTTGATACGTTTCCTCATGTTTGGGGAGAGACACCTCACCAAAGGCGGTGATGCTTCTGACTGAACGGTTTTTATAGGGATGTACGGTTGGGCACGGCTCTCTCCCAACACGTCTCCTGGATGAGTACCATCAGAAACATCCATTTCCATGACGATGTCGTCTTCGGGCTGTTGGCGAATTGTAGAATCCAGCCTGCCATCGAAAGGGGGCCGGATCAAAGCATTAACGGCACTAATCACTCGTGTCAGGGCTGTTAGCTTGGTGGGCCCACGAGGTATCCACAGTTCTGCATCGCCCACAACACTTGCGGCTTGCTTGCCGACGCCTTGAGGGCCGGCCTGCTCAGCGAACACCCTCAGCATTTCTTGAGCACACTGATTTCCGGCCAGGCTGTGCAGCTCAGCATAAGCTCGATCACAGGCACGTTTGTACAGCGCAATGTCGGCACCAATCGTCTCATTAAATCTGCCCACGTTGAAAACCTCAAACAGGCCAACAGTCACAATAACGACAAAGCCCAATAGATAGTAGGTGTAGTTGATGGCGGCGCCAATTAGTATAAAAGTGAAGATCACAAGGATATTCAGCAGAAATGAAGGCACGTTAAATACACCAAAGAGAGCCACCGCAGCAGCAGCAATGAGTCCCGCAATGTACGTCAAGTACTCACAGCAATGTACAGTGTCCGCTTCTCTGATTCTTCTGATTACTACTGATATAATAGAGTTGTTGTCTCCGCACCACCTATTCATATACTTAACCAGGCGGCGAAATGCGAAGGCGATAATTATCAGCAGAACAAACGATGCCTGCACGGTGATAGAGAAGCTGCGCCTGCTCAAACCACAATCAAATAGCAGGGGTCGGAGAGTGTCATACGCCTGCCCGTGCTCCAGCCCTTCTCCAATGTTGATCCAGATAGCAAATGCCAAGGTGGCGAGGACCAGTACCACCGGAAAGACCAGCATACAAATACACCCGCAACAGTTGAGACATCGGGTGTGCTTCTTCTTCTCACTGGCTAGATAAAGCACAGATAGCGCTCGAGGGTATGTGCCATCAAATGTAGGCATAAAATCCTCATTCGGGAAGTCAGGTTTGTCATCATCTGTGTCCAAGATGCGCTTCCATCCGGATTTGAAGTTTTCATCGCCATTGAGCCACTGCTCGATTCTGCCCGGAAAGACGACGCAGAA